GTGTGTGTGTGTGTGTGTGTGTGTGTGTGTGTGTGTGTGTGTGTGTGTATGGTTGATCACTTTTGTCATTTGGACAGATCTCCTAGAAATACTTCCACTGAAGAATAAATATATAAATATATTTGTTTCTCTTTTCCACCCCCCAGTGTCTGGCTACTGTTGTCATCATGCTGGTTGGAGACACCTACACATTAATCAATTATGTATCCTTCATTAACTACCTCTGCTATGGAGTGACAATCATAGGCTTGATTGTGTTACGCTGGAAGAAACCCAGTCTTTTCAGACCTATCAAGGTGAAAAATATTAGAGCTGTCTGAATGACACTTCTACACCTGTTCTCCTCTGAACAGGAAGAAGACTATAAATACCTCTCACTTCCTTTAATACTCACAAGGCAAGACTACACTGGTTGCTTTCTTTGCAATGGAAGCCCCAAGACGACATAGGATACTGCCTTAGAATGAGCTAGACTACGGCTCTATCTAGCCCAATGTCATCAGTTTTGACAGTGGCTCTGCTGGGTTTCAGACAGAATTCTTTCTTTGGCCAGAACCGCACTGATTCATTATATCAGGAGCTGATTCAGGTTTGAATTGATATAATGCCATGTGGTTTTTGTGTCAGAGTGTATGTCCTCATGTAAACGGCATCCTCTTATGTTTTGCCTCTGCGTTGTAAGTGGATGGTGAGGGGGGATGTTTTCCAATCCTCTACTTGGTGAAAGGTTCTCTCAAGCCAGGGAGAGGGTCGGCAGGTGACAGCAGTTCCTTCTCACTCTGAAGACCAACTACCCTGCTTTCTCAAACCATCAGGAGCTCCATGGAACTGAGAGGAGGGCACAGTCTGCATTCCGGCCAGGGGACGTTTCCAGGAAGTGATTGGAGGAGCAAGGATCACAAGTTTTAGCACAGCTACGGGGGTGATAGCATCCGTACCAGCCACCTCTTCCACTCTCCTCATGCTTTAAAAAAATTTTTTTATTAAGTTTTAAACCAGTATAGCATTTGATCGAGACTAATTCCCAAATTGAGCCTTACATTCCTTTTTCCTGTTGTTACTGCTAATATGCTTGAAGAATTGATTTTAAAGGGTTTCTAAAATAATTAAATTTTAATTTTCATGTTTTCTTTAATTTATGTGAAACTATGGTCTGAATCCTATTGAATACAGTGGTGCCTCGCTAGACGATGATAATCCGTTCCACTGAAATCACTGTTTAGCGAAATCATTGTCTAGTAAAAAGCTTTTCCCTATTGGAATGCATTGAAACCTGTTTAATGTGTTCCAATGGGGAAGAATCGTCGTTGTCTAGCAAAGATCGGCCATAGGAACGTCACTTTGTGAACCGCTGATCAGCTGTTTAAATAGCTGTCTTGCGAAGTGTAGGTCCCGAAAACACCCGTTTTGCGAGTGCGGAGGGACCTCTCAAAATCATTAGCTAATGAAAATCGGTTTCCGAAGCAGGGACCAAACATTGTCCAGCGAAATTGCCCCATAGGAATCACTGTTTTGCGAATCACTATAGCGATCACAAAAAGTCAATGTCTAGCAAAAAAACTATCATGTGGGGTAACTGTATAGCGAGGCACCACTGTATTATAATAAGCCACATTAGAGTAGGCCCGTTGAATCAATGGGGATTTGGTGAGTCACATGGGTTTACTCTTGATATGATTTACTCCAGTAAGCAACAAGATTTCAGCCTATGAATGCTAATTAACAGACCACCTATAAACTACCCCACCTTCTTTTTAAAAAGGGGTTAAAATGGCTAGACAGAATAACAGAAAACAAACTGAATAGTGTTAAACCGAATAGATCAAAAGACCTACTATTAGAGCAATGTTTGTTATCTTTGACTTATATTTTACTGGGACCCAATGTCTGAAATCCTGTTGCACAGTTATGCAAAAGGTGTAGTGTTTAGAGTCAATTTGATGTGATTTAAGAAATCTGCTACACACTAAGTCACATATCAAAAAAAATTGTTAATAAATATGTCTATGAAAATTTATTGATTTACAGCAATTCACATCTAAAAATTATGCCTTTTGCCCAACCGTGCAACAGTTTTGGCCAAAATGACTCATAATAATAAGGGCCTAAATACGGTTGTTAATTCTAACTAAACTAGGTCAATTCAATCAATTAGAGAATGGTGAAGCAATACTTTTGTAAATTCCATTGATTCAATGGACCAATTCTGGCTCGATTTGTCAACTCATTTCAAACAAGAGTGAAAATCAGATAAAGGTAAAATAGATTACTGCTACACAAGCAAGCATGCAGAAATAGATATTGTGCAGAAGCAGAATTCAGCAGTCTGTAAGCCAACTCAGAAAACAGGAGTGCCCCAAACAAAAAAAAACTATGTAACTATGAATCACCACCAATTTTGGCACAGGTGTAGCAGTCTGTTCTTGCTCTGTGCCCAATTTGGGGATGTTTGGGCAAATGGTTTTCAAGTTATGTTTTTTTTTTAAGTAAGACTGTTTTTACCCGATGCAGCACTAAGCAGCCTGTAGCTCTGAGTGATTTAAAACAGATCAAATACATCGATAAGACCATTTTTCCCCAGCCTGGAAAAAAATGGTCCTGCTTCATTTTATTTCACAAGAATTCAGCCATTAATGGGTCTAATAGACTGTTTGCAGTTAGTGCTTCTGAAGCCAGAAAAAATGCCTGCTTCCTTATGAATGACTGAACTTTTGACCCTGCTAATGGCATTCAATGACTGTGAAAAGCAGTTAACTCCTTCCTGGCCAACCATTTTTAAGCATTCCTGTTAAAATGTTTAAACAAGATTCACACTTGTTGAAAAACAGCCCTGACAGTTGCTTTGTGTTTGGGTGAGATGTGGTTAACTGATGGAAAAAAGGAGTAAGCTTCTGGGATTTTCCCCTGCATGGTCATTGTGAATGATAATGAGTGGAAGAGGGTACCTTGTAGACCATCTTGACTGCTGCCATTGGTGTTGTGAACCTTCAGGCTGCAATTTGCTATGTAAAACTTGGCATCCTTTTTTCCTGCTGGCAACACAGAGGCACAATATTTTTGCAGCAATATTGGACATTTCGCCAGCTTTTTGAATCATGGGTACAGAAGTACAATATCTCACATACATAAACTGGAGGTTTTTTGAAGAACTGAATAAAAAGTGACATGTGATCCCCCTTTATTTATTGCACTCACCCACCAATCACAATACAGCATACATCACATTCTTACACCAATTCTGTGAAGTAGTTTAGATCTAGAGACAGAGTAACTTGTTCAACTTATGGTACTGTGGGGCTCTGAATCAAGGCCTGTATTCTTCTTCTCTGTCTTCTTCAACCCTGTGTCCATTAAATGTGTTGGATAACAGCCATCATCCACAATCAATCTGGAATGATGGGAATTGTAGCCCAACATGAAGTATGATGGGTTGGGGGAAGGGATTGTAAACAGGGTTTGTGCTACATTAGTTCTTCATCTAGTCAGTGTCACCACATCTTTAATTTGTATGGGGGCAACATAGATTAGAAAATGAACTTCCTTGTAAGTAAAATTGTCTTGACCAGAAGACAGTTGTAACTGATTTAACCATTTCCAAGGCTCTTTTGATCTTTATGGCATGAAGGAAGCTAGGACAGAAATAACAGGCTTATGTACGCTTCCAATATTTTCTTTCCTCTTAGGTAAATCTCCTGGTTCCAATCACTTACCTGATATTTTGGGCCTTTCTCTTGATCTTCAGTTTATATTCTGAGCCGGTAGTCTGTGGAATTGGACTGATTATCATGCTAACTGGAGTGCCAGTGTTTTTTCTTGGAGTATACTGGAAAAACAAACCAAAGTATGTAAATAGGATAGCAGGTAAGAAAAAACCCATGAAAGTGTACATTATGGAAAGTCAATCTGTGTAGCTAAATATGTAATAAATCACATGCTTTATCCAGAAAAAAATATATAGGGCCTGGAATCACTATAGATCTCATCAGCCTATTTATGCATCTTGACAGTGGATTTTAGCTTCAGGCTTTCCAACTCCCAAAATTTTACTTATATGACTAATGAAACTAACTCAAAGTATATTTCTACCCATGCCAAAATATAGTTTTGTTGCTCCATCCCACAGCGTTGAGAAAGCAAGATTCCATACCTTCCTTGAAGATTTTCCTGACTGCAGCCATTTTGACTTTGCTCTACAAGTGAAATGATCATAGGTTGCCACTAGAAAGTACTGGAGTTTATGACTGCATTGGGGTGGAGTAGCAGGAACACTTTGTTCTCAGTCTCTGTTGTCCTAAGGTTTGGGTACAAGCAATAGTGAGCCAGTTAAAAACAGCTGTAGAGTGAGGCACACTTGCACACATACATCCCTACCTGTCTACTTCATTTCCAGTTCATTCTGACATGTAACTTATTTCACTGGAGATAAATCCTTGTATTTACTCCTAAATATGCATCTTTTATAAGATGGTTTTTCCCAAGAAAAATATAATTAAAATATGTGGGAATAAATAATTCATTTGTTTTCCTGCTGTGTTGCAGCAGTGTTCCCACGCTCAACCCACATCACTAAGAGCACTGTACAGAATATTCTGGAGTGTGAGCTTGGACATGTTACTTTTTTCTGGACTACATCTCCCAGAAGCCCCCAGCCACTGAACATATCTTCGCAAAGCGAATTTTTCCCTATGGGAAAAACGTTGTGCGATCGCATTAGCGATCCGAAAAAACGGATCGCTATGCGATTTAATCGTTATACGGTGCGCTCGTTAAGCGAGGCACCACTGTACTTTTTTCTGGACTACATCTCCCAGAAGCCCCCAGCCACTGAACATATCAGGTGGGGGATTCAGTACATGTAGTCTAAAAAGGTAATATGCCCAAACTCTTATTGGCATTTCTAGAGTCTTCGAAAATATATGGCTATGCTGCCTATTGGCTTGGGCTTATCCTACCTGGCTAAATTTGGCCTCAAAACCACAGATGTATACAACATAGGTTTATACTAGGTCAATCATCCGGGATCATATGCTTTGACTGGCAAGCTACTTAGATTGGACTGGATGGTGTGGTCTAATACCAGATATTGTTTATTTGCTTGTTCATGTTTTGAAAAAAAAAATGAAAGGATCATTTGGCTTGATAGTAAAATGTGTTTCCAGTTAAAATCTGCCTGATTTGCAAGCCAAAATAGTTTCATCCATCATCTTCCCCTCAAGTTTTGTATTTTTTTAACATTATTTCAAAAATTGCTTATGATTTTGCACAAGGTGAGCAACATCCAATTATTTAGTCCTGTGATGATCCGATTGTGACAAGTCCAAACTAGAACAGAGCAACTAACTCAATGAGATTATGGTTAGGACTAAAATGGATTTAGACTTGAATCTTAGTGACTTTTTAAAAACCTACTTTATAGGAGAACAAATTAGCTTGTCTCCCATTTAATGTTGCCTACACTGGTTGGTGGAAGTTGTCTTGTGCAGATATGGTTTCTCAACAGCTGTGACTTAATCCTGCTAATTCTTTATTTCCAAATCTGGTGGACTCTGCATGTTTTGGCTTTGTACTCCCATTATCTCTCCCTATTGTCCATGCCAGCTGAGTCTCAAGATGGGGACTGCAGGGAAGAAGAAATGGAGGGCATTACAGTGGGGTCTTGACTTGAGAACTTAATCCGTATTGGAAGGCGGTTCTCAAGTCAAAATGTTCTCAAGTCAAATCTGCATTTCCCATAGGAATGCATTGAAAACCATTCGATCCGTATCTGCTCTTTTCCGTCCATAGAAACTAATTTCTTAAGTCAAGACCCCACTGTACTTGGTTAGGGAAGGCCATTCTAATTAGCAATGCTGAGAACTGAAGCTTGGGCATTTTGTATTCAATGTCCAACATCCTGTTGCTTAGCATAGTAATTTGTACTAGAGTTGGTCCACTGAACCCATGGTAATTTTGTGCATCAACTCCTCTGTAGGTTCCAGCAATTCAAATGGACTCAGTTGTACTTCAAGGCAAGTCACAGTTAGAGAAGGCCTATTGGTTTAATGGAACTTCTGAGGAATTAACTCACCAAATCCCCTTTGATTCTAGTGCAATTTACTATCCTATGCAACAGGATTTTTGCTTAACTGTGTGGTGTATCACTGAGCTACAGTTTGTCTCTGATAATGATCACTCCTGGTTACTCTTAGACTGACACTCTCCTTCTTTGTACTTCTCAGAATCCTTGACATATTGGGGCCAGAAGGTGTGTTTTGTTGTCTACCCTCAGGGGGGATCCCCAGATGAAGATGATCTACCTTTCTCTCCTCTGCCTCTTCCAGGAAGTGAAAGGACCTTGAAGAAATAATGATATATTTTACACACGAGAAGTAGATTTTTACTGTTGCTGTTTACATGATTTTCTTTTGGAAAAGAAGGAAAAAATCCTGAAAATATTTTTCTTGTTTTTTAGAATTCCCATAGTAAAAAACATAAATGAGACACACCATTTTGACAGCTCTTAGCACTTAGTTCTTTTTCCTAAAAAGAAAAAAAAAAGGGGGGGGAGTAAAATAAAATAATATGTTGTTTTCTTTCTGATAATGTGGTGATGCATTTTAAAGGCAGATATATGTATGGGTAATTCATAATGAGAATTACATTTAATTGTTTTTAAAAGTTGGTTATAGATATTCTGGGAAGTTTCAAAATGAGTAACCCCAGAAATCCTCTTTCTACTGTAAGGAAATAAATGGAGCATATTCAGGGGAAAGATCTGACATCATAAAACTCTTCCAAAAGCTGCATTGCAAATCCAGAAATGCAATAGCTTGGATCCAAATTAGATGATTCTAGACACAGCATTTCCCAAAACTGCTTTTGTCACTTGAAGCTGAAGCTAAGGGCTTCCTGAGGTTTCCGTCCAAATGTCTGCTTAAAAACTGACTTCTTCAAAGCTACCTGTCTTCAAAAAATCTTTAAAAGTGCTTCCTTTCTGCTGGAATTTTTTTAAAAAAATCAGTATTAATCAAAAACCTCTGACTGGGAAACTTTCACCAGTTTCAAATGAGTGTCTTAACACTGACCTTCCCCCCTCGGGGGTACTACAAATCATGCTTTCAGCAGAAAAAAGGGACAGAAAGTCACATGGAGGAAAATGCACTCTGCTAAGGAACATGAGAGGAACATTGTATGGATGGTGGGAGGTGGGGGACACCAAAACCAGCAGTAAAGAAGTACAAATGTTCCATGTAGGGGAGCCCTAAGTTAAATGAAATTAAGTTACACTGAAATCAAGTTATTTTTGACAGCATCAAAATACAACAAAGTTAAATCCAGTTGTTACCTTTAACTACAGTAGGCTCTGAATGAATCATAGAATAATTGAGTTGGAAGGGGCCTATAACGTCATAGAATCCAACCCCCTGCTCATTGCAGGAATCCAAGTCAAAGCAGATCTAAACAGAGTTCTCCAATTTTCTCTTGAAAAATTTCTCTCACCAGCTCCCAAGGCAATTGGTTTCATTGTCATACTGCTCTAACAGGATGTTTTTCCTGATATTCACCCTAAAATTGGCTTCCTATAGCTTGAGCCCAATGTTGTGTTTCCTGCATTCTGGGATGATCAAGTACAGATCCTGCCCTTCCTCTGTACGACTACTTTTCAAGTACCGTATTTGAAAAGTGCTATCATATCCACCCTCAGCCTTATTTTCTCAAGGCTAAACATGCCCAGTTCTTTCAGTCTTTCCTCACAGGGCTTGGTTTCCAGTCCCCTGATCATCCTTGTTGCCCTCCTCTGAACTCATTCCAGTTTTTTGGCATCCTTCTTAAATTGCTGTGTCCAGAAGTGGACATAATACAGTGGTGCCTCGCATTACGACGTTAATTCGTTCCAGCGAAATCGCTGTAGAACGAAAACGTCATAATACGATAATAAAAAGCCCATTGAAACGCACTGACCCCCCTTCAATGCGTTCGAATGGGCTGGAAACTCACCATCAGCGAAGATCCTCCATAGGGCGGCCATTTTTGGTGGCTGTCTTGCGCGGAATCCATCCCAGAAAACAGTGGGGGGCCATTTTATTTACCTGGTGGCCATTTTGAATCCGCCGATCAGCTGGAGGAAAATTGTCGTTTTGCGAAGAATTGGTTCTCGAAGCAGGGAACCGATCATCGCAAAGCGAAAAAACGCCGTTCAGACCATCGCAATTGTGATCGCAAAAAGATCGTCATAATGCGGTTTCGTCGTAATGCGGGGCAATCGTAAAGCGAGGCACCATTGTACATGAAGTCTAACCAAAGCTGAATAGAGGGTACAGTAACTAGCAACTCACAGGATTTGGAGACTAGACTTCTGTTAATGCACCCTAAAATAACGTTTTTCTTTTTCTTTTTTGCCACATCAGACCGTTGGCTCATATTTAGGGGTTGTTGTTTTTTTGGCTACAAACATTCCAAGATTCTTCTCACTTGTAATATTACTAAGCCAAGTACTCTCCATCTTGTAACTGAGCATTTGGTTTTTTCACCCTAGGTAAAAAAAACCTCTGCACTTAGCCCTGTTAAATTTCATTTTGTTGTTTTCAGCCCAGTGCTCAAGCCTATTGAGATATTTTTGAATTCTTATTCTGTCTTCCAAGGTATTGTCCATTCCACCCAATTTTGTATCATCTGCAAATTTGATAAGTATTCCCTACACTCTCTCATCCACATCATTAATAAAAATTATTATTGCTGTACTGAGCCTTGTGATAACCAACTTGTTACCTTTTCTCAGTTTGAGGAGGAGCCATTGCTAAGCACTATCTGAGTACTATCTGTAAGCACTATCTGTAACCAATTCTGTAAGCATCTGACACTTGTATCCAGCCCACACCTAGATAGCTTGCTAATCAAAACACCATGGGGCACTTTGTCAAAGGCTTTGCTGTAGTCGTACTTTATATTACATCTACAGCATTCCCACTGTCTACCTGGAGTTTTAGTTTGGCAGGATTTGTTCTTGAGAAATGTATGTTAGCATCTAGTTATTACTGCATTGTTTTCAAGATGTTTACAAAGTGACTGCTTTGTAATCTGCTCCACAATTTTACCTCTGATTGATGTCAGGTCTGTAGTTCCCTGGTTCCTCCTTTTTTGCTGTTTTTGAAGACTGGGGCAATGTCAGCTCTCCTCCAATCATCTGGTACTTCACCCATTCTCCAAGATTTCAAGAAAATAGGCAGAGCCTTTGCGATCTCTTTAGCCAGCTCTTTCAATATCCTTCATGCAGTTCATCCGTTCCTGGGAATTTGAACTCACTTAAAGTAGTAAGGTACTTCTTGTCTGTTTGTTTATCAATCTCAAGCTAAAATACTATCCAATCTCTTTGAATTTCATATTTGCCTGGAGGGGCATAGACTGTCCTTTGGGAAAAGACTGAGCTAAAATAGGAATTGAGCATTTTTCCCTTTTCTTTGTCTCCGTTATAATTTTCCCATCCCCACTGAGTAGCTGAGTGACTGGTTTTTTTCTGTCTTTTGCTACATGTATACCTGAAGAATGTTTTTTTGTTGCTTTTAGCATCTCTTACTGACCACAGCTCATTCTTAGCTTTTGCCTTCCTAGTGCCATCCCTGCAATTCTCTGCTACTTGTCTATACTCTTCCTTTGTAGCCTGCTTTTCTTTCTTACTATGTGTCCTTTCTTGTTTTCAAGTCCTTTCTGAGCTTTTTGTGAAGCCACATATTGCTGTCTGTTTTCTTTTAATCATTTGTAGTTGTGCCTTTAGAATTTCCGTTTTTAGAAACTCCCACCCATCTTGGAGTCCTTTTCCTGTTAGGATTTCCTGTCATGGGACTTTGCCTATCAATGTTTATTAAAACTGGCTTTCATAAAATCCTGTGTATACGTGTATCTACAACTCTGCTTTTGTTTCTTCTGAAATTGCGAACTTTAGAATATGGTCAGTTTCCCCCAGAGTTCCTCTTGCTGCCGCTCAAGTCATCTCTACTGGTTAGGGTCATCACGGATAGCTATTCTTCTGGTTTCTTCCTCCACTTTTTGTAGGAGAAAATTATCAGCCACACAAGCCAGGAATTTCTTGGAAGGTCCATATTTGGCAGAATTTGTCTCCCAACATAATTGGGGTAATTGAAGTCTTCCAGTATTACTGCTTCTCAGAAATTCTAGCAATTTGTTTTTCAAATGTTTCTTCTTGATAGGGCAGTCAGTACTAGACTCCAACTACTTTCTTGTCAACATTTCTTGTCAAAATATACTAGAGTTCCATTAATTCATTGCATTCCTTAGTCTGGATCCAACCCATTAACACCTTGCTGTCAGCAGTGTTCTGTGTGCAGTTCCAAGCTTGCCTGTATAGGGGGCTGCAATCTATCAACTCTTATATCAATATCTGATTCCAAATTCTCACCTTTCTTGATCAAAAGCAAAAATTCAGTCCAGCCTTTTTTTCAGGTGACACATCTTGCAATTGCAGGCTCTCCTTTGTCTTGGAGCCTCAGCTTGGCTCCCAGAGTTTTCTGGCTTTCTTTTAGCACCAACTGTCAACATTCTGTGCCTACTGAGCACGTGTGTATTTACTTCTGTACGGCTCGGGGTTTCTCCAAACATGGTAAGACCTTCCTCTTGTTTTTCAGTGGCCCTGAAAAACACCATCTGATTTTGCTTTGAAAAGGGACAACACTTCCAGCGCTCTTGTTCATCCACATTCACACAGGAAAGACAACTATAGGTTAATTTTATTTTTTTGCTTTGAACTTTAACAGAAAGATGGTTTCCATGTTTTAATTTTCATGGTTAATTGTAGGCAAAAAACCCCACAACAGATGGCAACCTTAACAGTTACAATATAAAGCAATTTGCTGATACAGCACACTCCTAATATGCATCATCCCTGCTTAATTCACTCAGCCATTTTATCCCATCCAAAATCTGGAATCCATTTCCTTTTTCATTTACTTTTAAATGAGAAGACACAAATTAAAGAGATTGTGGATTTTCAGCCCCTCCGGAACACTCTCTTTGCATCTGATAATTCATTTACCACTACCACTTGACACTGCCCTTTTTCTTCTCTTTTCCACATACTAGGAAGGATATTATGAAGTATGAGAATGCTGGAGAAGCATTTGGTTCCATTCTTAAAAACACTCAGCACAGTGGTAGTTAATGGTGGGTATATTGGCTGCAAACTAACACACGGTTAGTGTCTTCAAATACCACTAACTGCAGTGAGACTGCAACACATATAACAGTGCAGCAATGTGCATCTCAATCACAGGCAATAAGCAGAGAATGCATTAAAAGAAACATCCCGAAGGTGATGGGGAAAATGTTAAAAACAAAGTGGCTACCTAGAGCCAATTCAGAGTTTACTGAAGTGACATGGGAATAATGCTGTCAGGACTCATGACAGGTTCCATTCTATCCATGTTTTCTTTTTCATACCAGAAAGGTAATTTCCCATGCCAGTTGTTGAAATAGGAGCCATGAGTCAGTGGTAAAGCAAGTGCTATGCATACAGAAGGTCCTGAGTTCAAATATTTACATCCCTATTTAAAACAATCCGTTTTGGAGAAGTTTTATGGGACCCCACTATAGTAGTGGAAGGGGGGAAGCAAAACATTGGGATCAAAAATATGAGCATACTTTAACTAAAGCATCTTACTGACATTAACTAAGCCTTGAGAGGCATTCCAGGTTTTTAGAATGGGAAAACCTGTGCATGAAAGCTATGAAAGAGGTATCACAAAAAAGTGCTGGGGATCCCCAGTCATATTGGGACCTTAGGAGACGTACAGTCATCCCTGGAGCTTGAGATTTCCCACTCCTTACCCAAAAGGATTTTAGATATCAGGATTGCAAATAGCTCTACCTAAATCCTCTTAGGTTAGTATCCTGTTGCCAGGGAACCTGTTACAGAACCGTCATTTCCATGTCTGGTTCCTCTTTGGTCACTACTTGGTCACAGTAGCCCTGTACAAACAGAAAGCCTCTTTTAAAGCAATGGGGTAGTATTCAGATCCAAAACACACCAGCAATCAACAGGAATCAGGCAGCCGCAGCGCTGCTATGCTCAGGATTCTAGCCTTAAACCCTGCTGGCTAGCCGGAGTAAGATGTGATTCAGTTCATGGTGCATTCACATATTGCTCTTTCCCAGCAGACCATGAAAGTGATTTGGGAAGCTGTTCAAACTGAATAACCTGGGATTCAGTCAGGGAATTGCAGGAAAATATAACTATACCACTCTAGAAACAGATTCGTAATTGGTCAATTGAGAAGACTTCTGTTTCTGATTGTCACATTAAAACAGCACAAAATGGCTTGAACATGAACAGATGTCTAAAAGGTGGTCAGACTATTTTATTTTAAAATATTAAAGCAAAAGGCACTGATCTTCACATAGTACTTAGAGACTAAACAATGCCAGCCGTCAAACCAATGAACTTCAACTGAGAAGTCATCATTATTTTTTTAAAAGGTTGAGGAAATCTAGTTATTCTTTTAAGACACTGGTATTTGGGCCATGGCCTTGCAATTTTAATCTCTTCCACTGGCTTTCAAACATTCTATTTCACAAAACTCTTTCAAAACCATTTTGTTAAATTCCAGTGATTGAAAAACATTCACTTATGCAATAATAGGTCATGTGCAGTACAAATGTTAAATTAGAATTCATCCTAGAATGTACCCCAAACTACTCTCATATTTCAGACAGGATAGATCAGGATAGCTCAGACAATGCAGGAACTTACTGGGCAAGATTCAGGCTGATGCAGAGACTGGAAGCATCCACTTCAATTTAAATCCAGACTTAATATGATGACTGAACATGAGGAACTATGGTTAGTTTTAATTTAGTTACTGAGAAGAGACTAAGATCAAATTGTGGTTTCACACCTCTGTTTGTTCCCTGATTAGAGTGTAGATAAAACATGGTTCCTTTTGTTCAGGTGTCACAGGGAACTGTGGTTTGTTTATAATCAGAATGGACACTTTTGTTCTTCTCTAGGACATAAAAAACAGAGAAAAAGAAGCCTTAGACTCCTGAAGGATCATTTATGTATTGCAAACAAAGATTATGATTGATGGGAACGCGTTGAGTCCCATGTTAGCTAGGACATTTTTTCAGGAAGGACTCCATGCTATTCGTTTATTTTCTTGCTAAAAAAAGCCATCTAAGAAACCCCACAGTTCTGATATCAATGTAATAGTTAGATTACCAGCTTGATGGCTCGCCTGGGGAAAAAAGGGCCAAAACTGGAAGGTTTTGAGGCTCACCTAGGCCTAGCTCCACCTGCCTTCTTCTTCAGAAAGAAAGCTCCCAGCTAGCTCCAAGGAAGCTTAGGTGGAGCGAGGCCTAGCTGAGTTTCACAGCCTTCCAGTTTAGACCTTTGCTCCAAGGTAAGCCACATGTATGCATATGGAAGTCAGGTAGAACTCCCAGAATGGGGAGTTATGGGATTTATGCTCCAGGAAATGTGAAAAGTTATTGCTTCAACTGCTAACACTTGTAATCTGAGTGGGGGAAGACACTACATTTAAAAGCAGCTCAACAAATATCCTTGCAAAGGTGGTATAATAATAGCCAATGCAAAATCACTATCAAGCAATTTCACTGTAATCGGCTTTTTTGTTATTACATGACACAATTGCCAAAAAAAACCCACCATCTTTGTATGCAACACATAGAACTTACAGTAGTTGCTAGATTTTCTTGATCTCTCTAGTCACCATTATGAGTAAAGCAACCACATAAATGAATGTACCTTCAGAAAGAAAGAAATGCTTCACAGACCCAATTTCCTGTTAAACAGTTTACCCCAGGGCAGCATAAACATGGCTTTAATTTAAACAAATATTTTAAATTGACAATAATTGGATATCTCCAGTTGAGCAGTCACAATAACAATTGCTTGTGTCTGGTGTCTGCTTTGCCTGCCAGCTGAATCCCCTCACGCCTATAAAGGGGAAGCTGGAAGCTTACTTTTAATCTCAAAAGGGGAGACAAAGTGATTTCACAAACAAAAGAAACAAGGGGATTTAAAGAAGTGTCACACTCGAATAGCAAATCCTTGTTCAGGGCTGCTTGCTCGTAAGTCCACAGATCAAGGAGAGAAAGCTGGGAAACAGTGCATTGGAGGGGTGTCACTTCAGCTCTCAATGGCAGGCAGATGAAAAGCGGTAGGTCTCCTGCTCTACTCCACAGGTATATGAGGAACTACATGTTTGTTCCTGCACAGGAAATCCGCAGGGTCAGTTATCCCTCTGGTAACTATTCATGGATTTTTAAGCAAGGGTACTGGAGAGGTCTCCTAGCATAGCGAGCATTATAATCAGCAGAATAATGGTGGCAGACACAGACAAATTAAGTGAGATTTAACCATCACTTGGCTTTTCTTACCCAAGAGAAGGGAATATATAGCCTTCCAGATACTGGTGAACTCAGCTCCCATCACCTCCAGCCAAGACTACTTAATGGTGAGGGATGAAGCAAGTTGTTGAAAGTCACCTGGAGGGCCACAGGCCACCCATTTTCACTAACCTGAGAGCAAAGCACTTTCCCTGGAAACTTATCCCCTCTCTATATCTAAATGCATATGTATCTACCAATAACTGTACTTAATGCATAAGATGGTGGACTTTTGCTTGCCAAATACCTATGCCACACAGGCACACAAAACTGAAGCACAGCCAGAGAGCTGTTATCAAGAAGAGGTGATAAGAAATTCCAAACCATAAACACTTTGGGAATCACTCTTTTTATATAACACAATGATTTCTTGGAGAAAGAAATGTATGATTGTGTGAACACTTTTTCATCAGCTGTAGGTTCCATATTTATCTCATTTAATCTTGTCCTCTATAGTTTCTTCCCCTGAAGATTGATGTGGGGTTTGACAATGGATACTGGCTGTGTTGGCTACAGATTATGTATACCACAAATACAGTGTAAAGGGTTCATAGAACTCAGCACTATCCCATTAACAAACCAGTAAAGAATCATCATCACCGGGGCTGATTTCTGTGCAAGGGGGAGGGGAATCTGGTATTGGCACTTCTGTGGAATGGCAGCAAGCTGGGTGAACGCCCAAGGGTTCTTCATGATATGTATGTGGGCAACAACTGTGTTGGCCATCCACCTGAAGGGGGACATTCATTGGGCTGTCAGAGTACAAAGACTCCCATGTTTTAAAGGGAAGTCTACATGGCTCTTCACTTCGCAAATGGCACCTGCTGGAATGTCTGCTCTCTGCAATAGTCCTGCTGGATACTGAACCAACATGCTGGTGCGTTTCTACAACCCTTTCCAACAAAGGGTCTCTAAATTTTTCTGACCCAGTCTTGCTGGTTTGTCTAGCTTCACCACTGCAGGTGCCTTCAGCACCCAAAAGCTTGTTGCTGGGTCCATTCTCTGGTTCTGATGGAGCAGCTGTACAAGTGTTTGACAAAACATCTGGTGGGGATGGATTTGTGGCTTCTGTCTCTAAAGGCAAATTACTGTTTTCAGATTCAGGGAGCCCCTGACTCCTGCAGCAGATCTCTGTTTCAACATGAGGTCCTTCAGGAGAAGGTGGGAGACTTTGAGCAGTTGTCCCATTTGTGCGATTGATTATCCCATCCCCCAGCATTGTCTGGGAAGTGTGGGGGGGATTTAACAGTGGGATCTGACCTCTCACTCGTGGCCTGTGGAAGAATCTGTTCCACAACCTGCCCAAGCGGCGGCGAGAGGAGCTACGCCTGGAGGAGTGACGTCGCATTTGTCTCCTCATGGCTGTTCGGATGTTCTGTAAGACCGATGCCTGTAAGGAAAAATAAAAACAGTTTTCCTCATCTGCATTTGCAGTAGAAGAGAATTCACTAACATGCCATATTTCTTGCATGTTGTCTTAAAAACAAAGCTTTTGCGTTTAACAATGTGAAATAAATCCTCCTCAACACTTTTTTATTTTCTTCAACCTCCTGATCTCAAACGTGCATGTTTATCATGATGACAGCAGACAGCTCTAGGCCCCTCTGTTTGACCCGACTGTCAAATGCCCAAACTGCCTAAAAAGCTAACACAAACGAGACCCATATAGCCTGATAGAAAAAACAGAGTACATCTCATTGCCTCTGTAATTGCCAACGTATCAGTCATTAAAGGGTCATCCTGCAGTGCAGAATACAATTGGTAGCACTAGAGAATAAAGGAAGTGCAAAACAAAATCCAGTTAATTATTCACAGACAACTGCACTAGTATAGACAAGAATCACCCTGATTGTCAAAACAAACTCAAGACTTTAGCCATATTTTGAAATGTATTCCAAAATAAATTCATTATTACTCCTAGACAGAAGCCCGCAGACACTCTCTCTTTCTCAAAGAGTATAGAAGTTAAAGACTATGTTCCTAAAACAGCCTTTTAAACCATGAATATAGAGAAACGTCCAATCTATTTATTTCGAAACTCACTTTTACCAAAGAAGGATGTAAATCTTTGTTTCTTTTGCTGACGCAGGTCAAGGTGGAAAGTTTCTCAACAATGGGCAAGATTATGAGAGCTTTTGTGCATTTTTACATATTGTAAGTGTTTTTGTGAAAAATTCCAAACTTCCTTTATCTTTTCTCAAATATAACGATTTTTTGCTTGAGAATACCATGGTTACAATATGTTGCAATTGCTTATGCTGCTGCTCACAAAAATGTGATTCATTTCATTTTCACATAAGAGTGAACAATCTTGCAGCAGCTGACAATTTTTTAAGAATGAAAAGAATGTATTTGTTATAATCATAACCAAATCAATAGAACAAATTTCAAAAGGTGCATAGTTGATTGTATATGGTAACTCACTAAAAACAGGTGAAAATGGTGTAACATGCAGTCAGTAAACACGCACCTTTAAATGGCAAACCACACACTGCATTAAATATGTTGTTTGCTAATGCTTAATCTTCATGGGGATTGCAACTATCTAGTCAAGGTCCCAAAGAAAGTCTTCATCACACTCTAAAGCCATTACCTGGCACAGCAAAAAAAGTTGGTGATTTTAAAAAAAGGTTGCATATTTGGAAGCTGCCTAGAGTGGTCCGGTGGGCCAGATAGGCGAGGTATAAATTAATTAAATAAATAAATAAATATCCATTTCATGAACTGTTAACAAAGCATAGCTCTTTCCCTCTTAAAATGCAAACATGAACCTTACTGTAGAAGTAAGATTTTCTTATGCTGGAAGGGCACTACTGAACTGAGAAGAAATGTATTCGCAAAGGCTTTCACGGCCAGGATCTAATGGTTGTTGTGGGTTTTTCGGGCTCTTTGGCAGTGTTCTGTGGCAGGGCAGAGTTTGCTGAATCATTACATTAGACTGCACAGGGAAGCCATTGAAATCCACAAGGACCAGCAGAACTTCAACAAAAAAGAGGAAAGTTTGAAACTCAACAAAACTTGGCTCCCAGAAAAATACAGCACAAAAGGTCAACAAACTCTGCCCAGCCACAAGGACCGGGGATCACTACACACAAAAGACCAGCTAATAACACCCATCAATCACAGTGACAGATAATCTCTCCTCCTTATCACAACAATAAACCTCCAGCAAGACACACTAATTGCCTATCTCCTGAAAAAGGACAAAAGCTGATCTCACAGCCATAAATACTCAACTCCCAAACAAACTGTACCAGAGCACAGAGTGCTGTCCTCTGAAGATGCCAGCCACAGAGACTGGCAAAACGTTAGGGAGAACAACCTTCAGAACACGGCCAAAGAGCCCGAAAAACCCACAACAACCATGAGAAGAAATGCCTTCAGAAAAAGTAAGCAGTATACTTTATGCTTTGGTCCTAAAGTGATTTACACCAGTAATACAAAAATGCATTTTCAGATTCTAATCCCTCTAGTATTGCACTGGAAAGACAGAGGACCAAAGACAGTGTCATTGACCTGTGACGCATTGTAAACTGGGAAGTCTTCTACTGGTGGGATAAGCCCCTGTGCAATGAGCTGGCCATAAGAAGGTGGAGCTTCACGCCTCACAAACTCTGCCTCAAGACGGGTCATCTGGGTTTCAAATGCCCTGCAATCAAAATGAAAAAAGGAGTAGCAGGGAGAAAAACTGACAAGCTCAAAATAGACTAGATGAAGTAGTGGTCCCTCTTTTCTTTCTGTTTGTAATTGTCCAAAATAACAGTGACAAACTGCACTGCCCACGCATGACTAACTTTACTTTTGCAGGCATTACCAGCTGAAGTACAAACGTTCCAGTAAAAGAGCTTTCAGGAAAGAGAATAATTGAGAATAGTGAATAGCAATGAGATTTAATGAAACTACTTTCATTTTCACACCTTTGAAAAATCAGGTGCCTTCAGCAAAGCTGCTACACAAAATAGTGTTGCTAGGATTCTGCCACTGGAGCAATTTCATCACTTCCAGTGTGTGCCAATCTCTGCTGTTTCAAATAGCAGAAATGAGCAGTGTCAATATGAATGCAACACTCAAAGGGAACAATGATTCCATACTGCTTGGTAACTCTTTTTGTATCTTTCAAAGAGTAGAAAGTGCTTGAAGCACTATGGGGCGGTATATAAGCAGCACACTTTGCTTTTTGCTTTTACTCCCAGTTCAGCATTAAAATAAAATCAGATTCTTATTTTTTTTTATTTGCAGGTTGGGTAGGGATGCCAAAGTATTCATTTCTTGCCATGGGTACTCATTGTGATAGCTTGGGAGTTTGGAAAAATATGTCGACCATACTTTAAAACATACTAAGATGAGATATCCGTATACTTTGTCTGGTCTAAATACTTTGTTTTGTGGAAATAGGAATCAGCAATGAGTCGAACCACTCCATTTTTTGCTACAAGGATTTCCTGCTTTGCTAAACCAGTTTCTCTGTGGTGCCCAAATGAGGGCCGTTACAGGCTTGCCACAGTTTAAACTAGGGATGAAGAATTTTGGTGAGTTCAGGTGCCAATTTTGTCCATCTAGAATGTGCTGACTCCTCCTCAGTGCTCCATAACCAAATATAGCTAATCAGAGCACTAAATTTGAGCAGATCACCAGAACCCATTAAAGCATGTTTGTTTTAATTGGGTTTTCTCATTTTGCCATCAAAGCTGAGCAGCAAAAATTAAGGAAGCATTTTCTACCTGCTTTGACAAGATTTTGGAGTTTGTCGATGAAATTCGTTAGCACTATTTACCACAATTACTGATTTGCCAGCAAATTTCACTTAGGAACAAAAATATTATTGGGGGCCACATGTAGCCTGGCTCACATTTATTACTGGTTTAAACATACTGTACTGCCATTCCTTGAATTTAGATGTCAAAGCTGAGCACGATTTGTTTAAAACTGGAAATAGATGCCTCTGATGGACTTCTTGCAGACACAAAAGAGAAGAATTGGAGAAGAGAGAGCACATGAACTCAAAACAAACTATTGGCCATTAACACACTAGGAAACCACAGTTCCTTATTACTTCTGAATCAGTATTAAGAGTAGCAAAAGTGAAGCACCAGTAGGAATGGCAGTTTCTTAAGTTATACAGAAACACATCTGGGGGTTTTACTCTCCAGAATTTTTGAACAGTAAGAAAGCAAAACATCTTCCTAATAAACTAAGAACAAACAACTACTTCACTTCACCTGTATTCCCTGGTTCTCAGCGAGTAGAGCTTAAAGGCACATCCCAGGGCTATCACTAAAAGCAAGCCACAGACAAGGCTGCCAATGAGAGCAGCTGTGATGACTTTCCTGGGCACAACCACCAGGCAATTATGCTCATCACTTCCATCTTGGCAATCCTCCTGCCCATCACAACGCCATGTTTCAAAAATGCACAGGTTGGTACCACAGTGGAAGTTGCCTGGTTGGCATGTGAAGCAATTCTTCTCATCAGAGCCATCAGGGCAGTTTTTTTGGTTGTTACACCGATCGAGCAAAGAATAGCACAGTCCACTATTGCCTTCGCAGGGGTACTCATTCTTTTGGCACGCGGGGCAGTTCTCTTCATCTTTTCCATTCGGGCAGTGCCACCACCCGTCACAGTGCTGCTTATCGGTGTAGCACTCCTCGTCATTCCCACAGGGGTGCTCCCAAGGAAGGCAGTAGCCTTTCACCTGATAGGTTGCATTGAAGCCATGGCCAGTGCTCTTTGACCGGGCATGATATGATACTGTCATCTGCCCCTTGGATGACTCCAAGGTTACTGTGTGCCTGTTATTACGATATGAAAGAGTCTGCATTAGTTTATCACTTCTCTCCCCTAAACCATCATAGACTTTTACATAGTCATTATACCCAAGCTGCAAGTCGAGCTGCAGGAGAACATGACGGCTGTCTTGAGTGTCCACGTACCAGGTGCAGCGGAGGTCTGCTCGGCTGTGATCTGAGTGGAACAAATCTGGAGAAGCAAAAGATCCATAAAAATTCCCCAGCCTTTTGCCACATGAAAGATCAGGGCAGTTTTCTTCATCCGAGCCATCGCTACAGTCTTTAACTGAATTACATTTCAGCTCGTTCAACAAACACTTGGTAGAATGAGCTATGCTGCACTGGAAAGTTCCAGAAGGACAGATGCTAGTCTGAGCCTCTGTTGGGGGGACAGTGCAATTTTTCTCATCAGAGTTATCACCACATTCATCCATGGAATTGCACTTCCAGGTGCTGGGTATGCATTTGCCATTTAGACAGTGGAATTCATCAGACTGGCAATTAGCCTGGCCAATTCTGCCTGTGAATGGTAGAGGTACAGGTTAGAAATTACTACAAACACTCTGTTGCTTCTCAAATTCTAGTTCAGCATAAAGCACAGTCCTGGAAGCAGAAGCTTCATAAACAGCAATATCATTCCATCTCAACAGCAACAAACTTCTTTACCCGAATCTCCCAGCTGGCTCCTCTGTATGTAATCCCCATTCATCTTTACACTTAGTATCCCTATTTTGAACAGTATCCTGTCCCTCAAGATTCAGTCCGATAGGATGCTAATTTTGGCTTAATCATTGTGGGAGATAAATTGGCAGGAGGCTGTAGCTTGCCTGAGTAAAACAGACTGCATCATAAGTTAGAATAAGCTGTGTCAAAATTTTAGATTAATAAACAAGGTATAATACCAGCCAGTATTTTTTATTATTATTACAATTAGTAAAATAATTTCTTTTGTTCATTTAATCAAGTGCCTGGTGCTGTGATGTTCCTAATACTGTTCTCTAAAATGTACAAGGCTGCCAATGAGAGCAGCTGTGATGACTTTTCTGGAAGTGTGTTAGACTTGGACAAAACAACTAGAAAAAGGTTTTTGCATCTGTTTTTGGAATTGATTGACTTATTGATTGATCAATCGATTAATTGATTGATTGAACGATCGATTGATTGATTGAACTACAAGTCCATGCTGAGTAGACTGCTCACCACAAGCTGATTCGATGGCTCCTGGCCTTTAATCAACCTCAGACTGACAGTCTCACAGAATTGTTATGAAGATTAATTAAGCCCACGTAGAAATAGAAGAAAACAAATGAGGTCTGGCATCCAACTAATACTGTGGTTTGGTATCTAACTAGATAACCAAAGAGAGATTTTACCTCGGACGTAGGAAAGGCGAAATCCCTGAGCTTGCCCTGAACTTGATGCATCTGAGTGGAAAAATATCCAGATGTGATCCCTGGCAGAGATGAAAGAAGGTGGGATTAAGGATCCACAAACTTTGTATTCCTCCCGTTTGGAAGATGGGCCAATCATCAACCAGTCTACTGAACATTTGGGAGAGTCCTCCAAATCAAAGTTCTTAAAACTGTCAAGATAAAAGAAAGAAAGATCTGACTGGCTAAGACATACAAGGAGACACTAAAATTGTGCATTTAACAGATTTTGCTAAAAGCTTCCATGCAAAGTGGATTTTACTAAGATTTCCGAATCAACCTAAGCACAGAGTACAAGATGATACCATATCAGGAAGGACTGGTAATTCCTCCACTTGTGTTCAACACAGTGCTATGACATGTACTATAACCAACTATATTTCCAGTTGTTGCATAAACATCTAGTATCACTTTTTATCTTTTATTTCTTCTAGAAATCCAAGATGCAAATGAGATCGGGACACCAAATCCTAGAATCTGGCTGTGCAATAATTTTTTTAGGGCTGGTTTCAAGGTTCCTTCTAAGCTGTGCACAGCTCATCCAGGGTTCTGTCAAGGTTGCACATGAGTAGCTGGCAGCCAGTTTGTTTACTTTCCATTTCGAATGAGGCCTCACCCACCCCCACAAACATGGAGCAAGGCTCCCATGCAGCAGGACAGAAACTTAGGCGAATGTTGGCTAGTAATTTCTATTTTCAATGCAAGTTTGGTTCCTGAGAAGAAGAAAAATACACAGCAACATTTCAAAAATAAAATTTTCATTAGTAAAATATTTTGCTGACAGACAGCCTCAGCCATGTTGGAAGATAATGGTGAAGAATCTCCTTAAATCTGAGAGCTGAATGTAAGGAATTTCTTATCGTCCCATTCGAGGGACGGGTGGGTCCAGAGGCAAAAAAGATGAGACCAAAAATAAAAGCATACTTTGGCTTAAAGTTCTTACTGTCAGTCACTTAGCCATAGTAGAGACATTTTCAAATTTTTTAGATTATAAAAAAGTAAGAAGCACACTAATCAAATTGAAGTAAAGGGCAGCCATGTGGTCCAAACAAAATAAAACGCAAATGCAAAAATAGGTGATACCTTTATAGATCACTAAAAAAAATCACACAATAAACTGAGCTTTTGTGGATTACACACCAGTTCATCATAACTGGCTATCTAAATTGCAATCGTAAGAGAGTAACCAGACTCCTCACCTCCACCTAAGGAAGACAAGCCTGGCAAACTGCCAAGAACGGCTGGACTTAACAGCTAAGTGCAACTTTCCTGACCCCCCCCCAAAAAAATCATTTTGCCATGTACTTCTGGACTTTTAAGTTCTTCACGCTGGTACAATCCTGATGAAGTGGTGTTTAATCCATGAAAGCTCACATTTATTGTGTGATGATTTTTAGTGGCCTATAAAGGTATTGTCTGTTTTTACACAAAGCAAAGTTATGATGGAAATGAGGCTGTGATCATCTCTAGTGAACTGTAGAAGTCTGGATTTGTGCCTCGTGAAAGCTGAATTAAAACTCCAGGTGTGAGGCTCCCTTACTCGGTTAGAAGGGCTATCTCAGTCCCTAAAATAAGCTGGCACTGATCAAATTTAATACTTTCTCTCACATTCCAAAACTAAAGGTTATGAGGGGAAAAACAAGTCTGGACATTAGCTTGTAGCCCACAGTTAAAATAACGCACAACAATTAGAAAACTAAAATCTTTATTTGATCATTAAAACCTGAACTAAAGCTTCCAGTGCTAAATCAAATGGTACTGAATCAACAGAAACTAGAAATCTAATTAGCTTTGCTTGCCAGCAAATACATTAGAAGAAATCCAGGGGAAACAATTATTGATACCTTCAATACGGCAACTGTATCAGCCAATTCAACCAAGAGAAGTCACTATTGTTTGTTACTTTTTCCACATAAGGGCAGACTGTGAACACAGCTGAAGCATTAATTGGCTCATTAAAAACATTCAGCTCCACTGTTCAGAACAATACTGTGAGAAGTTTGAAGCCTTGGTCATATTCCCAGCTCAGTTACCACCATGATGTGTAGCTAGAAGCAGTGGGCCTGGACAGCCTGGTGCCCCCTCCTGATGGCCACAGGAGCAGATGTCACAGGCAGGCCAGGAGCCTCTCTCTTGCATTGCCCACCTGGGACATTCACTTGCTGAGACTCGAGTAAAATGCATTGATCTTCCTCCCTGCCTAGACTTCCTCAGGGGACAAGCAGACATTTTTATTTCTGCTTCTTGCATTTGCCCTTATGCCCCTTCCATAATCAGTGGGGGCAGAAATCCGATGGCCCTCCAAAGACATGGGACTCCAAACGCTCCCATCAGCCCCTTCCAGCACAGATGTTACTGCAGTTCAACCACAGACGACAGGCCATACACTCCTTGTTGCTATACTGTACTATAAATAAAGGAACTAAGCAAGTGTCCTAGTCAGAGCATAAAGGAAATCACGTAAGTGTCATACAACTGGCTGTGGAACTGGTTACATAACCAATCTCACAATCAACGTGAAAGCAGGCATGTAAATGGAGAATGCTTATGTAATTGACCTTCCACAACTGGACAACACAGGATGTGCAAACCCTAGACTTTTGGCTATAGAGAGAGTAGTCTCTGGTTTCCAGTTTCTAGTTATAACTAACTAATCATGCTTCCCAAAGATAGGCAAAGAATCTTCTATTTGATTTTAGTGTTTTGCAGAACCAATGTTAAAGAATATACTGTATATGAAAGCAAGCACTTGCCTGTTACATCAGTTGGGGAATGTTTTTAAGTTTGCATCTAAGTTTACAGGGTAGAAACGTTTCATTGTTGACAGGCAATAGCACCCAGGACATAAGAATGCAATCAATTAATTAGCCAAGTTTAGTTAATGGACTGCATTGCTGTGTCCTGTGTGGTTTGGTTTGGATGGTATATCAATTTTTTAAATTAAAGCACTCTAACGTTTTCTGATCTAGATAAACTATATCAAAATCTTTCAAAAGAAACAGTTACCTTGGGATTCTCAATCAAGTTAATCAACAGGGATACATAATTAATCCTTTGGGGTGCTGGGCAAGTAATGACCTGGAGCTAACAGAGTGGGGGCTGAGATTCCCATAAATATGTAAGATCTCTCCCATCAAGTCCTACGCCTCTGGAAATTTAGTTGTTACCTATTCATTTGCAGGAATATTTTGGGGTAAATATAGTCCCACATATTATGGTGGAACAAAGTTTCTGAATGTTGCTTTTTGGAATATAACACCCACATCTCCCAAGAATCCTAAGTCAAAGGAAAAGAGTAAACTCTGTCAAGGGTCCTATGTATGTCAGATCACATTTTGGATGTCATGAATAGGTGCTGGCTACACACCTTCTTTTTACCTCCTATTCCTTCCCATCTCCCCTGGTTTGTCAATACAGTACATCCTAAAGAGCCAAACTACATACAGGATGTGCAAACCATAATTTTCCTCAGAACTGGAAAATGGCCTACTTTGCTGTTGCTTTTAAAGGGCTTAAAAGTCTACCTTGCTGATATCTAGCTTTAGGTCTGAAAAACTGAGTTTCCAATTCTGATTTGGAGGACATCTTTTTTCTTTTGTCCAGAACAGGAAGGAAGGCAAGTAACTACAGAGTGCAAAGCTAACAGGAAGCTCAAGATAGTTCAGATGTAGATAGTGGTTACACTTGAACAGAAATGAGGAAAGAAAGTCTCTACTTGGATGACAACTCTGAGAGTTGGATATCCTGGTAGCTGCAGTCTAAGAAAGCGTATTTGCATCTGAAATGGCCCACTGTTTCTAAAGCAGGCTTGAGTACTGTTACTCTCTATCAGTGTACCCTATATAATAGTGGATTTGTCAGGCTAAAAACACAAGTTTAACATACATGATTGAAGAATAACGTTCTTTTTCACACACAAGCGTTGGTTGGCCTACCAAAATTCTGTTTCACCAAAAGAATACATTTTCCATCCAATCCCCCATCCTACCTAATGGTTATCACATCTCCACGATCACCTTGAATATACCAGCTGCAGTTGACAGCTGGAGGATAGTTTAGTGGCCAGGAAGGGCTATATATGACACCTCGTCGTTCAGTATGTTGTTCCAGCTTTCCACTGCAGGCAGCTATCAAAAACAACAAATTGCCAAATGTTAAAAATAATACGATAACTAGTTCTGCTGCACTAGTTCTTTCCAGAGGTGCAATGATTTATTTACTTACACCTATTTTTATTTTTGAATACATTTATTCAATGTATTCACTAATCTTTGAAGCAGCACGCCTCGTTCTCTCAACCCCACACTTTTGGCAGCTCAGTGATGTAGGTTAAGCTGAGAAAGAGTTACTAGGTCAGATCACACAGTGAGCTGAGTGGAAATATGTATCTGGATGTCCCTAAATTCTAGTTTTATACTCTTTTAAGTTCTGCGTCAATTTAGAGATATTCTGGGATTTGTTTGTTTTTTGTTCTGCACTCACACTTTTTGCCTTCTCTACACTTTTGTACTCAAAATTTACAGTGCACAATGAGAGTTCCCATTGATCTGCAATGGACAAAAAAGAGTATTTACTTTGCATTTTTTATCCCCTAGAAAGACTTTACTGTAATCAAGGTGGATAAATTTATCTCTTTTCACAGCAGGTTAAACAGCAAAGGAATAAAGCCATGCCATTCATAATCTGGACCTGACGAGCAGATATTTAAGGCAGGGATAGGTAACTTGTGGTCCTGCAGATGTTGTTGAACTGCAACTCCCATCATGCCTCACAAGGGGCTCTGCTGGCTAGGACTGATGGAAGGTGCAGTCCAATAACATCATGGGGGCAGAGGTTTCCTAACCTTGCTTCAAGGAAAGGATGAAGGAAGGATCTGGTCCTTCAGCTAAACATTTCTCTGTAATACTAGAATCATGACTGTTTTTAATTTCTATAAAAAGCCAACTTCTTCTCAACATGAAACTTCACTGCAACAGTCTCCAACACGCTGCCCACAAGATAAGGCCATGATGGTTAGCGGTGATAGCGCTGGCCGTCTTACACATCTAGAGGGAGCCCTGTTGGGGAAATCTGCTTTAGGAGAAGCCATTGTTCACATATAAGAAGAACAACAAAGCCCATCTCAAGTGCTAATAGAAAACAAGGGTTGTAGCTTACCTAATGAAGGGACAGCACTTTCGATTTTTCCAGACAAGAAAAGATTCACTGTTTCAAAGGGAAACACAAATAAATCAAAGTGTTTGGGTTGTTTTTTCATTGTACTGGCAGCAACAATAGTAAAGATATCTATAATGGGCAAAAAAGACAGAGGCAGTGAAGTAAACATAGCTTCCAAACTACTAGATATAGGTTTGGTGCAGGTTATCTCTATTAACTGAAATATTATTATTTTACTAAACAGTTGCTGCCTATTCTGGAACTGAGTCATAATTTAATTAGCTTCAAGGCTTATACTGATTGCTGTAGGTACTATGGTGCCATCATGTTAATAAACTTCAGCATTAGCAGGCTACTCAGTTACTGTAATCCTGTTGCATAATTTATGTCTGTGTAAGGCTTATGACATCATTGGCAGGGAGTGATTTTTGGTAATCAAAGACTTCTGCCCTGTGGTGTTTCTGACTCCTGTGCAACACCTTTCATTGAGTGGAAGCCTTGGAAGCCAAGGGGGAAAAAAGTAGTATTTAATTACCAAAAATCTCATCTCCCTGTAATATAATCCAGTGCAATGATTTTAAATATTTAAAGACTTTCTCCTTCTGTCTTGTGGATCCCATGTGATGGACAACATTACATGGGAGTCAAAAAAGGCACAGCACAGAATTTGTTGTTTGGTCATTAAGTGGTGTCCGACTCTTCGTGACCCGATGGACCAGAGCATGCCAGGACCTCCTGTCTTCCACTGCCTCCCGGAGTTGGGTCAAATTCATGCTGGTAGCTTTAGTGACACTGTCCAACCATCTCATCCTCTGTCGTCCACTTCTCGTCTTACCTTCACATTTTCCCAACATCAGGGTCTTTCCCAGGGAGTCTCCTCATGAGATGGCCAAAGTATTGGGGCCTCAGCTTCAGGATCTGTCCTTCCAGTGAGCATTGATTTCCTTCAGAACAGGTAGGTTTGATCTCCTTGCAGTCCAGGGGACTCTCAAGTGTCTCCTGCAGCACCACAATTCAAAAGGCTCCATTCTTTGGCGGTCAGCCTTCTTTATGGTCCATCTCTCACTTCCATACATCGCTACTGGAAAAACCATAGCTTTGACTATGCGGACCTTTGTCTCTGCTTTTTAAGCATAGAATAGGAAGCTTTAAATTTACTCAAAATCACCCTCTATTGGTGAGGCCATCACCCTCCCAAAGACACAAGTTATGCAGCAGAATTTCAGCCTGTGTACGAAATACCCACCTCATTCCTAAATACTCTCATCTAATCAGATTTACCACCCATGCTCAGTCCTTCTCTTTGCATGGGATCTATCTGTTCAAGGATTTTTTGTCTGTTCAAGTCAAAATGGTTCCCTTCATTTCACCACAAAATACAGAAGAGCAGTCATATGAGGCTATTGCAGGGGGGAAAAACTGAAATGGAACCAATTACCTTGGGAGGTGCTAAATGCTCCAATGCTGGAAGCAATCAAGAGAAAGTTGGACAATCCTTGGTCAGATCTGCTTTGATTTGGATTCCTGCACTGAGCAACAACTGCCTTATAGGCTCCTTCCAACTCAATGATTCTATGATTGTTTAAAATTTATATTGCACCAACCTTAATCATGGTTAGAAAAGGTATGCTAGTTTGTTATGTTAATTCACAGCTGTAATGGGATAAGAAGCAATGAACTCAGATCAAGTCTAAATATCAAATCAAACTTTCTGGTAATTAATCTCTCTCTCTAAGAAGTGCCTTCTGATTTTAGATAACAAAGCAAAAGCAAGACCTAATAAGCTAAGATGGAGGGGGGAAATGGTAGAAGAAATGTAACTGGAAAAAAGGATAAATCCCTCTCAAATGTCATATTTTGATCCTCCAAAGCAGTGGTTCTTAACCTTGGGTTACTCAAGTGTTTTTGGACTGCAACTCCCAGAAGCCTTCAGCACCAGCTATGCTGGCTGGGGTTTCTGGGAGTTGCAGTTCAAAAACACCTGAGTAACCCAAGGTTAAGAACCACTGCTCCAAAGCATGATCTGAAGGGTCAGCAATGTGCCACATGCTCAGATGCTGCCCCCCTTCATTCTCTACATGAGGGTTCCCTTCTCCCTTTCCTTCCCTGTTCGAACCATGGCTTCTTTGTAAAAAACCACATGGACTAAACTATAAGTACTGATTAGGGATTGCTTTTGCCTGCAAATTATTGTTAAACCATGGATTAAAGGTACTTCCCAGCTCATGCTAGTCAAGGTTTGAAGGGAATGCTTGATTAGCCTGGACATTATGGCAACCTATGATAAAAACAAACTGGGAAAAAGAAACTAATAAAGGGCTTGTGAAGAAGGGAGGGTATAAGCCAAGTGCACAATTCTGACCCTTAAACACGATGCCTGAACAGGGCCCACTGCTTCACTGTGAAACTTCAGGGAATGGGAAGTGGATGCAAATAGCAAAAATAGAATAGCACTCTGTGCTCTGCACTAAAATCATAGCTAATGCTCTGACTAAAATAGACTATTAGAGAAATGGGGGAAAGAGAAAAATACAGTGTTGGAGGGACATTAATGTCAAAGGCGAGGTGAGGAGGAGGAACTAAATTTGCTATGGCAAGTGCTTCATTAGTGAAATCCACTATTTACTGCCTTCCAAATAAAGATATGAGGTGGTATTTCTGAATTCTGGGTGGCAGTCCAAGGGCAATGGCAAAGTCATGCTCCCCCTCCAATGCAGCTAAGTTTATGCCAACATTGACAATACACAGAACAATGGTACAATATTATAAAAATACCAATTCTCATTTTTAAGAGGGAAGATTGCTTCCAATGGATAGTAATTTCAAATACATATCTAGAGAGGCAGCTTCCTTTTGCAATGGCAGGTGTGATGGTGGAAAATCTTGATCACAACTATGCAAGAAGGGCATCTAACATCTGTTCGTTTAAGGTCAGTCTGACAGATGACCTTAAATGCCCCTCACCAAAAGATGCACTGTGCTGCTCCACAAGCCATTGTTCCAGAATACCTTTGCTTTCATGCTGTTCTAATTTAATTTATTACTTTTATTTGCAATCTATATAGAGTTTCCAAGGTTTTGCAAGCATATATTGAGGCATATATTGTTTGACCAAGTGGCAGGAGGGGGAGGTTGTTGCAAATAACCTGTTATACCTTTTTTTAAAAAATCTTCAGAATGTTGACAACAGTTAAAAATTTGCCTATTTGTAACTGGGAAACCTTTTATTTGTTTGCTTGTTTACACATACCCCACCTTTCTCCTTGAAAAAGGACCATAATTTTCAGCTGCCCGCACAAGCTACGGAGTAGTTTAACACTGCAGCTGCTAGACTACCAGGATATCCCAAGCACAAACTGCAAGGTTCCTGCCCAAATGTTTCTACTTTAAAACCACTGCCATTTGAATAGATGCTCTTTGTTTTAATTCTCCTGCTCCACTCTCCACATATCTACCAGCACTGCACTTGGGAGTTATTTATTCCTACTTCATCAGCTGAAGAAAGGAGGCCTAAAATGATTACTGAACACTAATTACCCACAAGTACGGTCCATTGATTTCTTCCATCTTAATGTATCTTTATCTTGGATCAAAAACAGAGGAGGAAATAAGAACCTTAAGAGCTTACTACAATTTACTTGTCTGAAAGATAAGAGTGTTGTTGAGATTCACAACAAAAGAGAATCCAAGGCTGGTAACACAATGTTTACTTTGTATTTCATCAGAACCTACTATGAAAGTTAAATGGAAGGCAGAAGGTTGTAGGCAGAAAAGGAAATGAGACGTAGGATGCACAGAGAAATTAAAAACAACCAAAAAACCCCCAAATCAGGATTTTTCATCTTGACATTATTGAACTACAGTATTATAATCCAGAGGAGAGCCATGGCTAAACGACTTCATCTTATGAGGCTGAAGAGAAGATCTCTGACCATGTCAGGGAACAGCACAAGGCTGAAATAATGTAAAACTTGTCAAACATTCAGAGCTATATTTAAGTCAAAATACCAGTTTTGTTTCTGACCATGCAATGAATTATCTTAACAACCAGTAAAGAAAAAAGTATTTTCTGGACACCTGTGTATGGCAAGGTGTACCCATTAATACTCAAAGTTAAACAAGTTCAATGGAAAAATTAAAGATTTCATGAACCCAAGAAGAGTCAGATTTGTGTACAGATTCTCACAAACCAGAAACCTCGGCCCTGGATCTGTCATCCAATTCATACATGCCAAACTATACAAATTTTCAGACAAACAATACCTCAGTTTGGAACCATCAAACAATTTCCTCCATTTACTTATCAGTATGTTCCACTTAGTTCAACACAGCTTACTCCTAGGTAAGACTGCAGCCTAAGTTATATTTCCAAGTGATGTGATGGCTTTATAAAGAAATCCCCCACCAATAAACTATTAAGACTATTTTCATATTGAAATTAATTTCTATATATTTCAAAAATAAGTGGAAACAATGTGTGCTATAGTATCTATCCAAATAAGGTTTATTTATTTTATTTTATTTATTTATTATTGGACTTATATACCGCCCCATAGTGCTACAATAGGTAGTTAACAATAGGTTGGTTAACCAACAATAGGTTGGTTAACAATACCAGTGAGATTCTTTCCTTTCCTTCCCAGATGCAGGACAGGAATGTACAACATACTGTAAATCAAGAGAGCCCTTACCAAAAACAAAAACCTACTTAACTTGTTTGTTAAATGAAAATGAGCCACAAACACTATACTCCTTTACATTTTTAACTATAGGCTACTAATTTCTGCCTCCAGCTAGAGGAAGTAGGCAAGAGCAAAAACAATCCCTAATGATCACAGTAAAATTATCTACAGATCACTAAGAACAAGCCACTCTCCTACAGAGCAGTTCCATGCAGATCATAACCTGAGTGTGTGGGGGGGGGGACCCCATGCATTCTCTTGAGCAAACAGAGCTGATGTCATTCCATTCTGCAGCAATGCCTTTGCGTGAAAAAAAAAAGATAGGCAGGACAAACACCAAATCCCCACCTCCTGTGTGCTTGGCATGTACCCTCTTGTCCTGAACGTATGCAAGACGTACCAGAGAGACAATGCAAGTATCTTGTGCATTCCTCTCTTTGCTTTCTATGGGGTGTGTGTGTGAATAGCCTTCTATGTGCCCCATCTGGGTGGAGGTTGCCGCCTGCAAATTTCCACCTCTGGTGTATCTCTTTAGGGACTAGATATCACCACGGATCGAGGTTCGGTTGGACTTGGTTACTGCCCATCTGGTCCAGATGCTTGGACAGGGAGATGATGTTCTGTCCACTATCCGCCAACTGGCACCCCCTAAAGATCCAGATGCCCACTGTGTGGGGCTGGATGAGACCCTTTTCCCAGGCCCCTCTGCCTGCCCTCCCTCGCTCTCCACAGATGCTCTCCACCACCCTCGCTTCCCATTTCTCTCTCCATCTGCAAAATGCCTTCATTGTCCTTCGCTTGCTCGTCTCCACAGTCGTTTTTAGCCAAAAGCCTCCATCTGGCTCTCCCTCCTTCCGTCTAGAAGCCTCTCTCTTCTGCTTGAGTGAGTGAGTGGTGATGGTGAGGATGATGAAGCGGAGGAGGATAATATTGCCCCACTCTGGCTCCCTCTCTCTTCCTCCCTCTGGTTTCCAGGATCGGTCCCAGCTCACCCTGACTCACCCAGGCAGAGGGCAGCCAGCGGCCCCAGCGCGCCCGGCGGACGAAGCTCGGCGGACGCCGCGTCGTCCATGGCGGGTCTCCTTGCCCTTCGCCCGGAGGAAGATGCGCGGCGCCTCCGG